GCCCATTCTCGTCAGCGCCGCTGTTGCAGACCGTATTAAGTAGTTTCAAAGGCTGCAGATGTGAGCCAGTTGTTTTTTCGGTCGACTGCAGAAGCAGATCGGCAGATCTTCGAGAAAGAGCGGTAGAATGCAGAATTTGATTTTCTTCCAGTACCTCTGAATCAATGCGCAGCATCCTCAATCGACACAACGCCAAAACTGATCTCCGTTTATTGCTAATCAATGCATCCATCTGTTGTTTCCAATCAGCTGCTATAGATGGCCTAACAGATTTCTTGGTAGGAGTTATGCGCACTGTCTGCCATGAATTCGGCACGGCATCTTCTCTTAAGCAGCCACTGTACAGTTGCGCAGAACGGCGAAGGCATAAAAAAGTGAGTCGGCACCAAATTTCAAGGCCATTTGGTTTAAACCTTCTGGTTTCGTAGTTATGGAAGCTTTGGTTTTCTTGATCACATATGGTTAAGGCTCAAAAATGTATGACAGAAAGTGAGTGATAATTGGCATCATACAGCTCCAGGTAAACCGTTAGCGCAACTCAAAAAATACTCCAAGCAGGTGTATACGGCGAAGGTAGAAGTTGGCTTTCCTTACCTTATTGATAACGTAAATCGTCGTAACATGTTATTAACGACTATGCCATGGGACTTCACGTTTTCACTTCACGTAGGTAGTTTGCGAACAAAAGTTATTTTTATACTTAGCGAAGTGATGCAGATGCCAAAAGTGCCACGAAGCTGTCGCTTGTTTTATAGGCGCGTTAATCGCACTTTGCAATTGTTGACAGAGTTCGCCTTTGCTCTAAGATTACATGTCCGTCCTGTTTAGTGCTGATGAGGTATATCAGAAGATGAAGACTACTTATGGCGCCCACGCTTGCCATCTTCTCAGGATCAATGCTCTGCCATCCGTTCCTCCGGACGATGCTCAGAACGCCGCAGTCGATTTTGCTCACTACTGGAACTTTATGTATTTGGACACGGTGCAGAATTTCGACTCGCTGAAGCTGGAAGTAGATCTGAAGGATTCAGCAGACTCAGACAACGTCGTCAAAATAGACACGGTAGTCCACACAGCCATCGGTGTGCCTTTGCCACCGGCTGAGCTGACCGTTTCCATCAAACTGGACAATCCGTTTCATAGCGAGTGTATTCCGCATCCGCTGTCAAACACGTGTCTACCGCAGCTGTCCGACCACGACCCGGTGCATTCTAGTAGCGAGGATGCCGGAGACAAGTTTGTTCATTCATTGAAAGCTTGTTGCTTGTTTAACGCATTGTTTAGGTTAAGTTTTCACTTAACTTCGACAGATATCGATCAGCTGAAGAACTTTGTTCGT